GATGGCAGAACACGACTTATCACTGATAATTCCAATATCATCTACATACCTTCTATAAAGTGGCACATTTTCGATTAAATTCTCCGATAAACTCTCAATGTACGTCATATAAGGGGCCGTAACGGACTTCCCATAGCAACACCATCAACTTGGCGAGAACAATCGCCTTCAAATGTAAACCTAACATTGTTAATACATAGAAGTAATAAATCCCTTAAAGAAGATATAGGCAACGACATGAAGAAATTGTTTGTGGGAATGTAAAATCACACAAAATGTCAAGTGTTTTGAGCAAAGGCACATTAGTGAATAATGAGTTTACATCAAAAGAGTACATATTCTTATTCATAACTTGACCTAAGTCTATTTTCTCACCTCTTAACTCTTTCCTCATTAATTTCAATCTACATTCCTATGACAAGTCCGTGTGTGATCGATCAAATTGTTCGAAATGTGTTGTGTGCGTAAATACAACATTACACAATTCAGACAAATTACGCCTTCTTATTGCTTTGTCTAAATTAAATTAATAATCTTGAAATAAACCTATTAATTCATAAAGAAGTGAACGCAGTTTGCCTTTTTTGTTCACCGAAAAAATCTCTCTTTTCAACGATTTCATTTTTTAGCTGTACAGGCATAATAATATTATTGGAAAAAAAGGCATTAAGTGACACTAGAAACTGCTCCGTCAATATTGCATATATGATAAGTATAAAGACAATTAAAATGATGTATTAACAGGATAGAGTTGAAGTGGATGAATTATAAAACTTTTTAAATATTCAAGTGTTGGTTTGTAGGGATTTGATTGGTTACAGGATTTCATCATGGGCTGACATTAGTTAGAGAACCATTGGAAAATCCACTAAGGAGTACTGGAAAGCTGTTTTGTCAGCCTAGTTTGGGACTCGTCGTCAGTACGCACCCACCGGGGCTCGAACCCAGGACGTTCCGGTTACAAGGCGAGCTCGTATACCATTAAGCCACTGAGACCCGATCTATGATTTAAATATTATTAAATAAATGAAATTGGTATTAAGCTTTTATCGATGTTAGATCAAGTGTTGTTGTCTGAGAAAATTAAGGTGATAACACTAAAGATGGTGAAGGTGAAGTGGAATGAATTCAAGTGGTAGAATGGAAGAAAATAGAAACAGAATATTACTGTGATCAAGGTTAAGAAAGGGGTTTAACAAAACGTTTTTGAACATATAATTTAGGCTTTTGTTCATGTTTATAGCTAGAGCTTCGGCTATGCATAAGTAGAGAGAACATAAGCTTGTAGAGTGGTTGAATTTTGTCCTGTAGATAGCTTTGTAGGATAAATCACTTCTGGTTGAATGACCTTACTCTAGAGGGTGTTCACAAATTGAAGATTTCACCGTCCTATGCTCACTTTTCATTAACTACACCGGATAGTTTTCAGCTACGCGTTTACGGAGAACACGCTAACAACGTCCAATGTAGTCAGTTCCACACAAGCATATGAAGGAGGACATAAGCGGTAGTTTATCCTTGACGAATTGTCGAATCATATTTCGGCTGGTAAATACAAAATGTCAGTCGGTTGCATAAAAGCAGCGTTTAATCCATTTAGATGAACGACTTTTAATTACTTCAGCAATAGTGTCACCTTTGAACACCAACCTCATAAACAGCGTCTCTTTTGGCACTACAGTTTTTCTCAGGACGGTTCCTTCATTGATGTTCCTGTCAATAAACCTTCCAGAATATCCATTACGTAGGAGAGTTGTGCGAAGGTTTTCTAGTTTGATGTCGACCGTGTCTAAAGAGCAGATTTTCCGAATTGTGGAGCATAGAGAACGAATAAGATTTTTCTTCCTGCCTGGTAGAGGTACCCAACTGTTGAAGTTAGCATACTGCCCTATAAATGCTGGTTTTTGGTAAATCGACCTTTTTTTCAACGTGCCATCCTTCCTTCTATCTGACATCACATCAATGAAGTGAAATACGTAATTTGACTTTTCTTCGATAGTGAAAAGCATAGACGGGTGAGAGCCATTAAAAAAAGACTGTTGCACCGTTCGTGTAATCTCTAACTCCACTTGTGCCTAAGTTATCCACTTATCTCAACTTCATTCTATGTGTATTCTGAACAAATTTACATCGAACTGGTATGGTGAAGGTTAACTATAACAGCCACCCTGGTCGACTTTATCACTTATTTCAAACAACTAGTCAGAATTAAGGAGCAACAAAAGTTTCAAAATTGTTAAAAAGATGAATATAGATCATGTTGTTCTGAGATCCGCTTATATTTCTAATTCTGTGCCTTAATCTACCTCGAAATTCTACTCCTCCAAAAAGGCTAGTTATCCTGTCGGACTTCCTGCACATAGGCACGTTTTGATAAATCAAACCCTCCGCCTTCGCTGAATTCGTTAAGCGCGAATCCAAAACAACAGGCATAATTTTATTTGGTTATTATACCACTTGTAACTCGAAATGATTATCATTATGTATGGATGCCGCTTCTATAGTTTAATTTCACTATTGATATTTCATACGAGTCCCATATTTATCCCCCTCTTAGGTTTCGTATGGTAAAAGAGTCGACTAACCCTAGCCTAGTTTACTCGCCCGATCCTAAGCTAACAAAAGAGAGTAATTGGGATGTGTGGCTAGCAAAACCAAGGCATAATAAAGAAAGAATTGAAGACTGGTACAGAGTTTGATAACTTCCAGATTGTCCTGTCTCAAACATGTACTCCTTTTGTACTGCCTACTTCCATCGTTCGGTGCAATCGTCGAAGTATGTCTTTTCGAGACTGGTTCGGTGATGCTGCCTCACACACCTACATTTTAACTGTTCTATCATATGACAGAAGCTTCATTAGTACATAATTAATGTTCTTTTTATTAAATAATATAAAGTTTCCAAACAATCTAGAGAAAAGTATCCGTCTTTACTATCTTATGTATTAACTCTTTAACTCTATGTACTCTTTTCTTTGCAGCTTACTAGTCAACATCCGTATATAGAGAAATATATTGGTGAACCTTATTCTTATTTAGTCGATATGGACAATGAGACACAAATACGCTCCACTGTTCAACGTATTCTTAGCAATATTAATGTAAGATAATTACTATCATTTCATTGCTGTTTCGTTGCTTTCGAATTCATTCACATTTACTTTCTTCTTTCTGGATTTCATCACAAGGTTACTTTCGATTTATTTATTTATTTATTATTTAGGGTAGGCAGTGTGTTTATTTCGTTGCTTAGTAAACATTGATTTATTTCGGCGTCCTTTCTATCAACCGTAATTTTTTCGTACAAACAAAACGTATTAGTGAACATTGTATTTATTCAGAAAACGAGATTTCACTAGTTTCGAATATGCCATTCGCACTGTAGAATTCACCATACATCTAATTTGCATATGCATATTTATATATATATATATATATATATATATATATATATATATTGCAAATTGGCAGAAGTTGGAATTCATGGGCCGGCCGTTGGATCGAGTCCCAATGGCCTAAACGTCTACAAGCTCGCCTCTTAATGAGGAGGATTTGAGTTCGAAACCCTGGTGATGCTGGGTGCGTACTACTGATGGGTCCCCGACTAGGGTAAAACAGCTGTCCAGTACCCCTTGGTTTTCCATTGGTTCTCTAAATGACATCAGCTGCTGATCAAACCTATTAATTTTTATACCCTTTATGTATGAGCTTATGACACTGTTGGGTGACCGCCCAAACTGAAATAAGTAAAACAGCTTTCGAACTTTATATTTTTATGAATCTCAATGAAATCCAAAGAAGTAGTTCTACATCTTGTTCAGCAAGCTGATCCGAATTTCAGGGAAATAATCAAAATTAAAATATCAAAGGTGTAAATTAGAAAACAGTATATCTTATCTTTAAAGATTCTTATCCAATCATATCTGAGCAATGAATATTCATCAAAAACAAAAACAGATTGCTTAAACACTGATCGAAGTTTGACCGGATAGTTACACAAACTTTATTATTACTCGTCTATTTTGTGCGTCGGTGGCACATTGGTTAGGACTCTCGCCGACCATGCACATGGTCCGGGGTTCGAGCCCTCATCGGCGCACACCTGATATCTATGGTCGGCCTGCGAAATTTGGGCTACCGATATCACATGCTGAAAAATCCATACTTGTACCAAAAATACAGTGTGGAATCAAGCTGTAATCAAAAATATAAAAAATAAACAGGGGGTGTACTTTTATATCAGTCTTTAATAAAAATGTTCGAATAAAGATCATTGTGACCTGGTATATGTAGTAAATAAATTTGAATTAGAAAATAAGTAAGTGATATAGGATAATGTCTATGGCCTATCAGTTGTCAGCAGATTCAATATAAACTGAAATAAAGTGGCGTCAATGTTGGTTACTGTTGTCAGTCATTGTGCATCAGTAGCAGTGTAACGACAGAAGACAAGGACCAAGCAACAGATCCTTTATTGAGGAAATCAAGAGACATTTATATATATTTTTATGTATATTATTATTCGTTATTATTAGCAGGGAAACGGCGTGTTCTGATTGGTTGTTTTCTCTCTGAATGTTATTCTGTCATCTCTTTGTGGCCGTTTCTTTGAAGGTCAGAACATATATCTGCAAATTTTATCCGCCCACGTAAGGTCTTCTGTGATTGGTTGTTGGGTTAGTCTTTGTTCTTGTTTTTTTCTCACGACCAATATTGGGGACGTAAACATTGACGTAAATTGCTGTCTACCAATTTTGGCTAACAGACAGCTCTCATCACAGTAGTAGTTCAACAGCAGAATGCTTGCCAACCATCCATGTGGTCTCGAAGGTTCGGTCCTCAGCTAACTGACTCCTAAACCTCGCTTGACCGGTGGTAGTGAGCCTAGTTAAGACAGTAAGTTGGGCATGAGGCTAGAAATCCCACCCTTTAAACAAGAAGGATAACACCATTACTACTAAAATTTCAAATAATGCACATGAAAATCTATAAATATCTGTTGATTTCCTAAATAAACGATCTGTCGCCTGGTCCTGTTGTTAGAATACTACCTGGTTTTAAGTCAATTTTGACTTTCCGGTTGATGGATTGAACCAAAATGTTCAGCTTCTGTTGAAATATCTGTTCCGAGTATGAAAGCGTTGACAGATGTCGGAAGATTAACATGTTGCCATTTGGTGGATGACGACGACTATCAGTGGAACCCAGGACGCGCATTTCTAACCTATCTGAGACTCGTCACCTGGGTGTGCCTGCAATTCCCAGTAAGTGATGGTGTCCTCATTGAGACTCGAACCCAGTACTCATCGTCTCAGACTTCCAAGCATTGTCCACGAGAACCACCACTTGTGCAACGGGTAACAGTTATCACTTGTTTGAAGTCAATTGTCACTTTCTCGTTGATTAATTGGACTGTTCAGTCTCCTGATTTAATGACTATGGGCATCCATCAGCTCGGTGTCAATTTGATTCGACAGAAACTGATTTTGTTTTTAGAGATTTGAGCTTGTGTTATGCAAAAGGCTTTCTATAAATGTTTTTCTAATCACAAATAATTCATCACTGTGCAGCAATTATATTTCTCTTGATAATTACCATCCACGAACCAATTGGCGTTTTTTTTTTTAAATTTTGGTTGTATTGAGAACAAAACTAGTGGCAATGCCTACACCTTTGAGCTGCTTCCAGTGTGTGTGTGTGTGTGTGCAAGATTCTAAGTCATGGTTTCCTTGAAATTAACACGACATTTCCAACGCTCCTTGCCTGTTGTAGGTGATATTCCCTACTCTCTGTCTCAGTACATGAATAAATGCCAATCATTGAATCACAATCACAAATACTAAACTGCTATTAGTTCTTAGTTTGTTGAATCATCAGTTTTGTTGTATAAAAATGCTAATATGATAACCAGAACCATTTAACTCTAACTGATGTAGGTAGTCTTTTTGTTTAGGCCAATAGACGGCTGAAAACAGTCACTGTAAAATATAACGAATCCAGATCAAATACATTCATCTGAAGGAACGTATCCGCTATACTTTACTCCGTTAAATTGTGAATATCTAGACAGTAAAGTTATTCTCAAGAGTTAGTTTGCAAGAATTCCATTTGCTACAAGTTTCATCACGGATTTATATCATTTAGAGAACCATTGAAAACCATGGAGTACCGTACTGAAAAGCTGTTTTGTCCTAGTGTGGTGAGAGATGGTTGCTAGCCAAATCGGTAGACAGTAACTGCGCTTGTGATTCTTCATCCAAAATGGGAAGCGCACGTCGAAGTAGATTCGTCAATTTCACCGCCAACACTAAAGGGTCTCCATCACGTCCCAGCTTCGTTGAACGGAACTGCTGCATTGCTAGCTGTCTGTCTGTTGCGCTGTCAAACTCCGACACCAGTCGTTCAACCAATGTCTTCCAAGACGCTGTGCCATCTGACCTGTCTACGCTGTCATATGCCGCCTTCGCTTGGTCTCTCAACAGCGTCCCCAGGACGACCGCCTGCTCCTCGACACCTACTAGCTCAGCAACGGCCTCTAAGTCACCTAAGAAGCTCCGTACGTCTCCGTTTTCAAACTCAGTTGGCCTTGGGATCTTCATTTTTCGGAGGCAGCGACACCAATTGTAACAACAGAAGGCGAGAGTCAGGCAACAGATCGTTTATTAAAGAAATCAACACATATTTATATATTTTCATGTACATTATTATAGATTATTGTTAGCAGAAAAACACAGTCTTCTGATTGGTTGTTTCTCACAGAGTGTTAACCTTGCATCTCTTTGTGGCTGTTTATTGAATGTCAGATCATCTATATGCTAACTGTATCCGCCTACACAAAGCCTTTGTTCTCATTTTTCTCACGACGAATATTGGGGACATAAACATTGACATAAATCACTGTCCACCAATTTTGGCTAACAGCCAGCTCTCACTACACTAGGACGGAAAACAGTTTTCCAGTACTCCCTGTTTTTCAATGGTTCTCTAACCGATATCAGTCCGCGGTGAAACTTGAAGTAAAGTTACTTTTAATACAGTGTTTATTCTATTTGGTTCGACAGTGGTTAACTGGAATTTAACGCTAAGGTGTGTATACATACGATACTTCTATATACTTAGTTGATTATTGTGTTTTTTTTTAAATATTTCAGATTGAAAGTTATCGTCCTCACGAATATAGTCCATGGGGATTTCTTGAACGTCTCAACGCTTATCTAACACATCAAGATTTCTGCTCATCACCATTCTACCACAAGCTGATACAGTCTCCATTGCCTGTTGTCCAAATCAATCAGACCTCCTTATTTAATTATTTAGATGTTCCAGGTGCTTCCGTTTCTTGGCCGCCTCCTTCAAGTCTAAAGATTGTCATTGGATCTCCAGGGAAATCGTGTGTAGATGTATGCGGGGAACTTCGAAGTAATAAGTCGTCAATTTTTCCATCTGCTAATGTTGATACATTGAAAAACCAAAAAATATGGACTGATTATCTTTCCTATCGTTCTGTTCATTCTGCGCCTCCTCGGAACACTTCTTATTTGGGCACACTTCACTGTACTCCAGAACATTTCACCAGTGTTAATAATCGTCTTAATCTACAGTATTTCGGTATTTCTTGTCATAATATCACTTATGCAGCTAGTTCAGTAGCACCATACTGGGATTGGGTGACAAAGTCGTGTGTTTTCCAAGCTGACAATGAATGGTTTGATTGTGTTAGCTCTACAAGTGTCAAAGGCACCAACGAGTTTTCACGTTTCTGTCCTTGCCGTGATGCACTTCCTAATCAGATCTCCATGTGTACTGATTGTTTATAAGAAGTATACAATTTTCATCCTTTCTTTTTTCTCTTACTTTGTCAGATTCTAAATTATACGCTTTTGTTTTCTTATGATGACTTTGTTTGTTTTACTTTTTAACAGTTGTCTGTTTTTTTTATATTACCTACCTTTTTTATCGTTGGTTGTACATAAATTTCATTGTTTATTTTATATTTCTGTAACTTTAGGGTACTTTTTTTACAGTTTTACTCCGGCAAACAGTTTATCCTCCAATCAGAACAGATAATATTCTCTTTGTAGATGGCGCCATACCTAGTCGTGATTTGACAAAATTTACGAGTAGTATTACTTTCTCAACACAAAAACTGTGGTGTGTTTGACGAATTAATATTTTTAAAGTATTATTTGAGTAATATGTATTCATTTGTACATAATATCCTCGAAATATAATATATTCTTATAGACAAGCATTTTCACAATAAACTGGGTTCTTCTTATTATTATCATTATTGTTGTTCCCTTGGGTTCCTAGTAGAACATACGGCTTCAACTGTACGCCTCTACTTGCTTCTGTCTTCCTTCTGCTGTACTTTTCACCTGCATCCATGCATGTTAGTCCATACTGTTTCAACTCCTCTTCACACGATATCCTCCATGTCACCCTTGGGAGTCCCACTCGCCTCTTTCCCTTCGGATTCCACTCGTTGTCACCCAGTGGCCTCCTCAGCGAGTGTCCAATCCATCTCCCCTTTCTGCTGCATATTTGTTGGGCGATTGGTTCTTGTTTTGTTTGATAAACTGGGTTAGGCTAGATCGAATTAATTTACATGCAAAAAGTTATAAAATTCCCTGATTTTCAAGCTTGGACAATTTTATCAACGGAAAGTCTAATCCTTATTGAAAAACTGCTACCTTGTCGTGGTGGACGGGCCTGAGTACCGCAGTGACCCAACAAGCTAAACTGACTGAGACTTATGTTCCTGCAGGTCCTACTATGTCAGGAAGGTTTCTTAGACAGCGGGTAGACTAAAAGCAGTTACTATGGGGTGCATGGGCTCCAGAATTCAATAGGATCAAATGGCGTATGAACTTGTATTGGTCACCGGCAGCCATGGTAGCCTAGCTTCTGACGCTCCTCTCCTGCCTTGTTGATTAGACTCCAAGTCAAAGGCTTGAGGGTGGTTCCTTGCTTCGTAGCATTGAAAATCACCGCGCGCTCATAAAAATAAAACTCAGTCTGTCTAGAGGCGCTTCAACTATCAAAAGTATCATTCTGCATATATTCTTGTTGAAGTAACTAAATCGCTTTTGTACTTACTTACACAGGTGAATCACTCGACAAAAGCAATAGCCAGTAGTTTAGCATTTGCTACGAGGTTTGTTTACAGGGTGTTCAACTAACAAATCTGTGCTATTTTCATGGCCGTTGCAATACTTTACATTGATTTGTTAACACTTCCCACTACTAGCTTAGCCTATGCGCCTTCATTTCTCAGCAGTTGTCTCAAAGCATATTTTACATTCAGAACAAGATTAATATTTGAGCGATCAATCAGTTTTAATCATATATTCTTCAGGGTTTTTAGTCATTTATCCGTGAATATTAAAATACGATAGCCAGTAAAGGCAAATTGAAATACTTCGGTAACTGTATTTCGAAAAAGATGTAAGATGGATTAATAGCCTGTTGCTTAAGGTTGTTAATCAAGTGTAGATTCGTTAGGAACGCAACATAAAATGTGAATAAGCAATCAAATGACCTGTTTGTGTATTTATAATCAGTGGTATGAGGTAAATATAAATAAAATGATTTGGAGCAAACAATTGTTGTTTTGATGAATTCTTCTTCAGGCTCCACGGTTATAAATTCATGAATATTATAATAGAAGTAGCCATTAAACACAAGTGAAAATTATATCGGTGGCTTAAAAGTCAATCTGAATGAAGAATATTCTTTTCAATAATTTCTCTTCAGATTCTTACAATTATAAAATATAATATTTGTTGTCGTTACAATAAAGGCCAGTATACACACTTCCTTAGCTTTGTACCGATGAAATACAAACGTAATCTAATCAGGTGCTTAGCATTTAGAGCGAGGTCTATATGTTCCGAAGACTGCGTAGAGAAAGAACTCCAGGTCATTCGAGACATTCTAAGCGAGAACGGATATCCAGAGAAGCTCATTAAAGCCAACATAGGTTACAATAGTCGTAAGCATGAACTGGCAATGGTGGAGAAAAAGCCTCTGTCTTTACGTCTCCAATTCAAGGGAGATACTCCTGCAGAGATTCTATTGCAACGTTTAACCAGGGTGATCAAGAAAACTTTCTACTCTGCACGTCTGTGTCTATCTTTCACTAGCCGTCTAATGTTCACCCAGCAACTCAAAGATGTCTTACCTAACCTTAGCTCTTCTTCATGCATATACCATTTCAACTGTTCCTGTGGTTCAAGTTATATAGGGCGCACGATTAGGCAGATTCGTCTACGGGTTCGAGAACATTTACCAGCTTAGCAGGGGGGGGGGGGCAATTAAGTGCATAAAAAGCTCGATCCTGTCACACTTGATCGATAGTGGATATCGTATCGGTTTCAACACAGCTTTCAGGGTTATATACCGAATTCCGAAGTCATTATCATGTACAGTTCGTTTACGTCTCCTACACATAGCTGAAGTTGTTGTGATAAGATCGACTAAACCGGAACTTTGTATCCAAAAAGGACATGTCCAGACGCTGTTCCTACCGTGACCAAACTTGGATTGATGATTCTTCTCACCAAGAGTGCTCCTTCCCCTTAACCCTCTTGG